TAAATAATTTTTTTAAACCACATTGAGATACCACCTTACACCAGTTAGAATGGCCAAAATCAACAAGGCAGTAAACAAGTGTTGGAGAGGATGTGGAGAAAGTGGAACCCTCTTACACTGTTGGTGGGAATGCAAGTTAGTGCAGCCACTTTGGAAAACAGTGTGGAGATTCCCTAAGAAATTAAAAATAAGGGGTGCCTGGATGGCTCAGTCAGTTAGGAGTCAGACTCTTGATCTTGGCTCAGGTCTTGATCTCAGGGTCTTGAGTTCAGGCCCTGCTTTGGGCTCTACTCTGAGTGTGGAACCTACTTGAAAAAACAAATACACTGGGGCACCTGGGTGGCTCAGTGGGTTAAAGCCTCTGCTTTCGGCTCAGGTCATGATCCCAGGGTCCTGGGATTGAGCCCTGCATCAGGCTCTCTGCTCAGCGGGGAGCCTGCTTCCTCTTCCCTCTCTCTCTCTGCTTCTCCTCCTACTTGTGATCTCTATCAAATAAATAAATGCTTAAAAAAATTAAAAATAGAGCTACCCAACCCTGCAATTGCACTACTGGGTATTTACCCCAATGATACAGATGTAGTGAAAAGAAGGGCCATCTGTACCCCAATGTCCATAGCAGCAATAGCCACAATCGCCAAACTGTGGAAAGAGCCAAGATGCCCTTCAACAGATGAATAAAGAAGACGTGGTCTATATATACAATGGAATATTATGCCTCCATCAGAAAGCATGAATACCCAACCTTTGTATCAACATGGACGGGACTGGAGGAGATTATGCTGAGTGATAAATCAAGCAGAGATTTAATTATCATATGGTTTCACTCACTTGTGGAGCATAAGGAGTAACACGGAGGACATTAGGAGAAGGAAAGGAAAAGTGAATTGGGGGAAATCAGAGGGACTGTGGACCCTGAGAAACAAACTGAGGGTTTTTGAGGGGAGGAGGGTGTGGGGATGGGTGAGCCTGGTGGTGGGTATTAAGGAGGGCACATACTGCATGCAGCACTGTGTGTGGTGCATAAATAATGAATCTTGGAACACTGAAAAAAAAGAAAAGAAGAAAATGAGCTCTCCTACTCTTTTCCCTAAATATTGTCCTGCCTGTTTATCATGTCTAGAAATCTGTTTGTCATCATGGTACCCCAGGCAACACTGGGGAACACATAATGAAAAACAGAAGAGAATCTGAGTCTCTGAATATTTCATTTTGGTGATGAGTGAAAAATCTCTAGAACCTCTCCCCCCTGGCCAAAAGCCTGTTATGACTCAATATATGTCCTCATTGCTTTGGTTGGTTTGGTATTTTTACTTTTGCTGAGTGTATCCAAACTATATCAAATAACTAAGGGCAATGGTTCATACTGGGAGCTACAGATGCAGAGATAAAACTGATTCCATCACAGCCATCAACCACCTCATGTCTGGTGGGGGATGAAATACACACACACAGAGTCACTGCCTTGGCATTAAATGCTGTCCTACAGGTTTTACAAATGCTTAGTGAAACCAGACGCATCTAATACACTCAATGTCAGGAGGAAGAAGTGGACAGATATTGAGAGAATATTCAAATAGCTAATAAATACTCAGGAAAAAAATGGAAATGTAAACCATGATACCTACCAGAGTAGCAAGCATTTTTTAAAAAAAAAAAACTGATGCCAAATATTGTCAAGGATATGGAGAAAGAATAATATTCATACACTGTTGGTGGGAGTGCCAGTTGGTATTTTTGGAAACCTATTTAGAAAAATTAAACTTATGGGGCGCCTGGGTGGCTCAGTGGGTTAAGCCTCTGCCTTCGGCTCGGATCATGATCCCGGTGTCCTGGGATCGAGCCCCGCATCGTGCTCTCTGCTCTACGGGGAGCCTGCTTCCTCCTCTCTCTGCCTGCCTCTCTGCCTACTTGTGATCTCTGTCTGTCAAATAAATAAATAAAGTCTTTAAAAAAAAAAAAAAGAAAAATTAAGCTTACTAAAGTTGAGCTTAGGCATACTCATAACCTAACCCCATGGAACTCCACTTTCAGTATATGGAGAAAAACATGCACAGGTATTACCACAACAGTCTGATAAGGAGCTCTGATCTCCCAATACAGTATTTCCAAGAACACATAATGAAGAATTTTCAGTGCTGGATTGGTCCTTTTATGTGGGTGGTGGCTGGTACTACATGGCTGCAAAGCCTTCTTAAAAGAATTGTGCTGGGAACTCTAAATTTGTTGTGTCCAAAACAGAATTTCAAAGACTAGAGAATCAAGAGATGGAACTAGAAAAGTGATTAAAGATTTCCAATTCAAAACAAAAGAACCCAATACAGTCATACAGTTTTAAGGAACACGTAATTGCAATACAAAACCAAACAAAAATATCTCAAAAATATAATTTTTATATAATCGCACTCATGAGATGTAAAAATTCTAAATAAAACAGTAGCAAATGAAATCCAGCAGTGCACCAGAATACATACTTACACCAATAATTAACCTGGGTATATCCAGCAATGGGAGAAAATCAATCTGTCAATATAAATTATCACATTAACAAATTAAATACTATACAATTGCAGGAAGAGATGAAGAAATGACATCTGACAACTCAGGAGCCCTTTCAACTTAGATACGACAAGGATTTTTACTCAGGAATAAAAGAAAGCATTAGAAGGTCATCACTTGAGAGCATGATGCTAACTACCATTCCATTAGAACAAACTTAGTGACTGAAATATCCAACGTTAGTTAGGGCCTTCTAATTATGGCAGCATTCCTCAACGCAGTTTCAGATCCCTAAGATGGAAATAAGTAATGGGAATCAGTATTCCCATGGTAAAGTTTGAGAGCACCAATTTAAATTAAGTCAAGCAAATTTCATTCACTAGAATACTCTTTTTAGTTTCTTAAGTTGACAAGGTGCTTTTGATTTTTCCTTAAGAGGGGATTTAGTAGGTTCTATTTCATAGGCCTCATTAACCAGAAAATCCCAGTTTCTCATGTACTACTCAGTACTGGTAATTTTTGAGACATAACTTCAGAAGTTCTGGGACAATTTTAGTTGTGTAAGTTGCTTCCGTATATTGGCTTAGGGTTTATTTTTCTAGCTTCATAGTCCAGGGGGACAGGGACCATGTAGATACTGGGGAAAACAAGGCATAGTTCTGGGCTTCCACCTGGCCAGATGCAGCTTGGTTTTCTCCAAGACACAGTAAAAGGTATTTTCCACTGAAAAGAGCTTCAGGCACATTCTACAACTTCTGATATACAATTTAACTATCATTCTTTTTTCAACAATCTATAATTGTTTCAATTTTCTTTAATTCAGAATTTATATATACATATGGTAGGACTACATTTTCAAAAGTAGTTGAAAGGTTCACCAATCTTACTAGCGTATAATGGACCTTTTTAATGGAGAGCTCCAGCAGTCTCTGTCTTAATCAAATGACCAAACTTAGCACCATGACGGGAGAAATAAATCAAGAATGCATGGCATTCTATAAAACAGCTTTCCTTAACATTTCAAGAAGTCTTTTAAAGATTAAAATCTAAACACAAGATAACCAAATGCAGTGCCTGAATATAGAAAAGATGCTGGTTAGAAAATAGCAATAGGATACCTTGGGAGTACTGGGACATGTGAAGTGAATATAGACGAATATTACAGAATTATTGATAATTTTCTCTACGACCATGGTATTAAAGGATGTTCTTATTCTTAAAAGATGCATGCTAAAATATTCAGGAAAGAATACATCATAAGATAATGGTGAGTGAGTATACATATACATACCTAAATTTCAGACAGAAAGCAAATATGATCAAATGTTAATAATTACTGATTCTAAATAGAGTATATGGATGTTTATTATTATATTGCTCTTTAAATTTTTCTGAGTGTCTGAAATTTGTCATAATAAAATTTGGGGAAAGAATTCCCAAACGGACAATTTTTTGTTTCTTTTAAATTTGTAATTTATCTCAAAATGTGAGCAGAGAATTTAAATCACTGGCTACTTCTGTTTGAATTCATTAAAGGCAAACTGCTTCACCTCTCCCTCATTCTTCAACGGGTATATTCCTGTCTACTTAACATCTTAACATTTACTTAATCCACATTTCTTTTCAGCCTTCATTTTTTATGCAGCTTAAGGGATAAACTCTTAATAAAAATCCTCTCAAGTTTCTTTGTGCTTTTCTAGATTTTATCCATAATGAACTATCTGAAATTCAAATGCATGAGTGGTTATGGAAGCTTTTCAAAAATGCATCACACCAATGTCCATCCTTTTCCTAAGAATTCACCAGTAGTAATACTAATGATGAAGATAATAAGAAAATAACAAACATGTATTGAGCGTAGGCTACATTCGAGAAACTCTTCCAAGGATCTGATGCATACTAAATCCATGCAGTCTCTGAAACAGAACTATTAGTTACCATCACCATCACCATCATTTTCAAGATGATGCCCAGAGGAGATAAGCATTTTCCCCAACATCCCACAGGTAGTAAGAAGATGGAATGGTGAGGACTGTAAGTATGGTTTGTGCCATGTGTGAGAGATCTCCTGCATTTGTTACATTTGATAAGGTTATTCTCTAGGATGCATTCTCCAAAGTTTAACAAAGGTTGAATAGTGCTGGAAGGCTTCTATACCTTCACTAAATGAAAACTATTTCTTATAAATTATGCCTTTATAGGTTTAAGGAAGTTGTGACTCACATATTAGCCAAATCCTATAGTGTGAATATTCTGCTATTTTAATCACAGGTGACAAGTGAAGCATTTCTTACTCAAATTATATTGTGACTTGTCTTGTGTTTTAAAAACTGAATGTTGTCTCAAATTATTTCTGGAAAGGGCACACGTTTAAACTTGTAATCATTCATGAGCTGACTGATACTTTTATAAACTACAATGATAATGTTGAGGCAATATGAAATTGCTCTAAGTTTCCAAACACTTATTTTCCACATTCATCTCGTGATGAGACAGGTTAACAATTTTGCGTGCTGGCCCTAGTCTCTAGACAACAGTTTTAATAGTACTTGTCTAGAGGCCTTCCTACATCCCAATTTGAAGGGTTTCTCATTTGGATGGATTCTATGATGTACTGTAAGATATTTATCATATCTGTAAGCCTTCCCGAATTCCTTACATTCATAAAATTTCACAGCAGTATGAGTTCTCTAATGTGAACAGCAAAAACTGAACTAGGTTTTGGTTCTTCCTACATTCCTTGAAGTGTTTCTAATGAGTACAAATTCCCCAATGTTTACCAGACTTTTGTGCCATGAATAAAGATCTTCACACATTCCTTACATTTAAATGATTTCACATTAGTACAAACTGACATTCAGTAAGACTGTATAAAATTCTAAGGCCTTTTCATATTCCTTATATTCAAAGTATTTCTCACTAGTATGAATTTTTGATATCAAGTTGTCCACACAGATGTAAGGCTTTTGGCACATTCCATACATTCGTAAGTGTTCTCAAGATTAAGATTCCTCATGTTGTTTATACACACAAAAATTTTTCTTTCACCTCTTCAATCATAAAGTTTCACCAGTATTTACGGTCTCATTCGAATAAGTTGTCCACATAAAGGCTTCCCCACATCCTTTATATTCATAAGGCTTATCATTACTAGGAGTTCTCTCATGTTGAACAAGACTTGAGCCGCAATTAAAGGTCTTCCCAAATTCCATACACTGATAAGGCTTCTCACCAGCATGAAATCTCTGATGGACACCAAGTTGAGAGCCACTACCAAAGGCCTTGCCACATTCTTTACATTCATAGGATTTCCCACCTGTATGGACTCGCTCATGTTTAACAAGGCTTGAACCCCAACTAAAGGCCTTCCCACACTCCTTACATTCAAAAGGTTTCTCACCGGTATGGATTTTCTGATGTTGAGAGAGGTGATAGCCACGACTGAAGGCCTTGCCACATTCTTTACATTCATAGGGTTTCTCGCCAGTATGGATTCTCTCATGTTGAACAAGACTTGAGCCGCAATTAAAGGTCTTCCCACATTCTTTGCATTCATAGGGCTTCTCGCCAGTATGAAATATCTGATGTCGAGTAAGTTGATAGCCCCAACAAAAAGCCTTTCCACATACTTTACATTCATAAGGCTTCTTACCAGTATGGATTTTTTGATGTTGAGTAAGTTGATAGCCACGACTGAAGGCCTTCCCACATTCTTTACATTTATAAGGTTTCTCACCTGTATGAATTATCTCATGTTTAGCAAGGCTTGAGCCCCAAAAAAAGGCCTTCCCACATTCCTTACATTCGTAAGATTTCACACCAATATGGATTTTCTGATGTTGAGTGAGGTGATAGCCACGACTGAAGGCCTTGCCACATTCTTTACATTCATAGGGTTTCTCACCAGTATGGATTCTCTCATGTTTAACAAGACTAGATCCCCAACTAAAAGTCTTCCCACATTTCTTACATCTGTAGGGTTTCTCACCAGTATGAAATCTCTGATGCACAGTGAGTTGATAGGCACTAAAAAAGTCCTTCCCACATTCTTTACATTCAAAGTGTTTTTCAGCTGTATGAGTTCGCTCATGTTGAACAAGTTTTGAGCCATGACTACAAGCCTTCCCACATTCTTTACAAACATAGCGTTTCTCTCTATTATGAATTCTTTGATGTGCACTAAAAGATTTACTTTTTCTTCTAGTGGGCATTTTTCCATAGCCAATTATCATTTGACTAAAGTATCTTTCTTGATGTCCCTGTGGTTCCTCAAATTTGTTTTTGCACTTAGAATTATTTTCAAAAATGGATGCCTCAAGGCCAAAAGTTTTACTTCTTTCCTTCATCTCCCACTGGGAAAAATTTATTTCAAAAATGTCTTTTTCTGAAATTATATTGTTGATCTCATATGTTGACTCCAAATCTGAAAGAAGACAAGAAAACCATATATTTTATCTCCTTTACCAGAAAATTTACTAGAAAACAAACAAACAAAAAATACTCAATAGAGAAATACAAGACAAACTGGAAATAACACCCAAAGTGAATCAGGAAATTAAGCTCACTGCTAAGCATCATATCTCTGCCCTATTGAACAACAATCTCAGCTTTGACTTTTCAGCTTTTATGATCTTAATGTTCTGATTGAACAGCTTTCTGGAGCACTCCACAAAGATCACTTTAACAAGTTCCCTATCTTCCCATGTGGCTGACCCCTTAAACCCAATGTGTCCTTCCATCAATCAAGCCCCTATGTGCCCAAGTGTGGTTCAGCCGAACTTTTAATGACTGTGTAGGCTGGCATGATGAACTGGAACCTAGAAAATCCCCAAACTCAAAAACAAAATCAAGCACACCTGAAACTAATATTGTAGGTCAACTATACTTTAAAAAGGGGTGGGGGCAAAACAAAACATTAAGCTACATAATACTTTTTCACAGGAATTTTTCTGAGTGATTGGTGTTGGGCTAGAAAGCAGACTAGATCCTGCAAGCCAAGCAGTTACTAAGTTCCAAGGCTTTACTGAAGATGAAACATGTGAATTATAATTATAATTAAAATTATAATACAACCTCCACTTAGCTCAAATCCTGCTATAATCACAGAGGTAAGTGCATGGTCATGTGGGAAGTTTACAGCAAAGAATGATTTTTACATCTAATTTGAAACCTGATATAAACTGAAACTAATAAAAATTATGACTCAGCCTCATCTCAGCTTCATGCTTGGTGGGATCAGCGTTATCACTCCCTCACCCTGAATAACCAAGAAAGGACCATATACTTTTATGGGCAGGGAACCATCCATTCGTTACTGTTCTTCAAAATGTCTGGCACACAATCAAAAATTATGAGGTAGCTAAGGAAGACGGAATGTGTAACATATAACTGCCCCCCCAAAACCCACAAAAGAGACAAAGAACAGATGTATTAGAACATCAGTAGGCAAGGTCATTCAATTGTATTTTATGATTCTGGAAGAAAAGATGGACAGTGAGCAGATGGGAAGTTTCAGCAAAGAAACAGAAACTCTAAAATTATAAAATGGAAATTCTACAACTAAAAAGTCCAAACAGAAGCCCAAAGAGAAAAAAGAAGGGGGAAAGAAAGAACAGTATCAGATCTGTGCAACAAAATCAAACAATCCAACTTCAGGCAACAGCGTCCTAGAAAGAGGACAAAACCAAGTAAGTACTTGAAAAGATTATTAAAATGTTCTAAAAAATGTATGAAATGTATGATAATCAACCTACTTTTAGCAAACTGCAAGCAGGAAAAATACAAAGAAAAGTAACAACTGAGAACATAATGACAGAGCTGAAAACTGAAGATGAAGGAAAAAGAGTAAAAGGAGGCAGGGGAGGGAGAACATTAGAGTCAGAGGAACAACCAAACATTATGGCAGACTTCACATCCTTAACAATGGAAGCTACCAATGGAATGATATCTTTAATGGATGAAGGAAGAAAGCTAGAAAACCTCGAGTTTTACATAAAGCAAAAGATTTCTTCAAAATGAAGGTGAGATACTTCCAGCCCTGGCCATGAAGAAAAACCTGGTATTAGACTTAAGTCTTACACCACAAACAACCAAAAGGCTATAAAATAGGATACTAGAGGGGCGCCTGGGTGGCTCAGTGGGTTAAGCCGCTGCCTTCGGCTCAGGTCATGATCTCGGAGTCCTGGGATTGAGCCCCGCATCGGGCTCTCTGCTCAGCAGGGAGCCTGCTTCCTCCTCTCTCTCTGCCTGCCTCTCTGCCTGCTTGTGATCTCTCTATCAAATAAATAAATAAAATCTTTAAAAAAAAAATAGGATACTAGATGCAGGGCTGAGAAACTTTAGAGATTATCAGGACAACTTCATATTTACCCTTTATGCCTGCCTGCATCCTCCAAAACATCCTGGAAAATGCTCTCCAAATAGACAGCGGTGGTCTCACTGGGCAAAGGATAGTGGTATCTGAGTTCAGGGCTGCTAAGGTGGCTGGAATTTGTAGTTCAAGGTGAAGAGAATAAAGGAGCCTTGCAACAGAGTCCCAGAAATCTATGCGGGGATTACCCCATTGGATCTGTAACCAAGTATTAATGTATGTATCCATACAGTGACTTTCCACGAGGAGACTGGAGTACCAACACAGCCTCAGTAGAAAGAAGCATTCATCTGAGGCCTCACAAAGCCCATATTTTGAAAGACCCATCATCTGGAACAGTAGTTCTCAAACTTACTGGTCTCAGAATCCCTTATATTCTTTTTTTTTTTTTTAGTTCTCAAACTTGCTGGTCTCAGAATCCCTAATATTCTTACTTTTTTTATATTCTTATTTTTTTAAATTCTTATTCTATATATATATATGTATATATATATTTTATTTATTACTTGAGAGAGAGAGAGAGAAAGAGCACACAAGCAGAGGGAGCAGCAGAGGGAGAGAAGCAGGCTCTCTGCTGAGCAGGGAGCCTGATGTGGGGCTCAATCCCAGGACCCCGGGATCAGGACGTGAGGCAAAGGCAGCCACTTAATGGACAGAGCCACCCAGGAGCCCCAGAATCCCTTATATTCTTAAAAATATTGGTGAATTCTTGGCTTGTTCATGCATCAGTGTATTTCCAATACAAAGTTTAGTATTTTTATCTAATGGTGATTTTATAACATTTTAGTTGATTTACTAAAGGGCAGAGAAGTCCTATGGATGTGTTTGTGGGAAGTAATTTCAGTCATGGCCCGTTGGTCATAGCTAAAGTGCAGTACCTATTGTTTTACTTAACAATGTCTCATTGCTTTGTATACATTAACATTGTGTATAAGGACTGTGTGTATATCCAAAAGGAAGCCAAGGTATTTAAACTGACCAACCCAGTATTACAAGTCCTTTGAGATGGTCAAATGTAAACTAAAAGGAGTGCCCTTTTGTGCAGTCTAGCACCAATAAACAGTTCATTAAACTTGAATTTAGTTCAACCAATCAGAACTGCCATGCGAGAACTTGTATTACAATTACTTGTAAGTAAGGCTTAGCAATGCTAGTCAATGAATGTAGGTTTAACTTTTTATTTTTTTAACCATTTTTTATTTATTTATTTGACACAGAGAGAAATCACAAGTAGGCAGAGGTAGGCAGAGAGGAAGGCAGAGAGGCAGGCAGAGAGAGAGGGAGAAGCAGGTTCCCTGCTGAGCAGAGAGCCCAATGAGGGGCTCGATCCCAGGATCCTGGGATCATGACCTGAGCCGGAGGCAGAGGCTTAACCCACTGAGCCACCCAGGCGCCCCTAACTTTTTATTTTTATAAGCTTTTTTAAAGCTTTTATTTATTTATTGGTGTGTGAGAGAGAGAGCACAAGAAGAGGGAGTGGTAGGCAGAGGGAGAAGCAGGCTCCCTGCTTAGCAGTCCCAATATGGGACTCGATCCCAGGATCCCGGGATCATGACCTCAGCCGAAGGCAGACACTTAACTGACTGAGCCACCCAAGCGTCCCTAACTTCTTTTTAGTTTAAAAAATTGGGAGACCTGAGTGGCTCAGTCAGTTGAGTGGCTGCCTTCAGCTCAAGTCATGATCCCAGGGTCCTGGGATTGAGTCCCACATAGGGCTCCATGCTCAGTGGGGAGCCTGCTTCTCTGTCTCCCTCTGCCTGCTGCTCCCTCTGCCATGCTCTCTGTCAAATAAATAAATAAAATCTTTAAAAAATAATAAAATTAAAATTAAAAAAAGAAATGTTAAAAAATTATTGAGGACTCAAAAGGGCTTTTGTGTGAGTTATATTTTGATATTTACCATATTAGAAATTAAAACTGAGAAATTAAAGATATTTAATTAATTCCCTTGAAATTAATAAATCATTGCCTATTAACACAAATAACAAATGTGTGAAAATTATGTTTTCCAAAACAACAAAAAATAATATTATCTTAATTTTTTGTGAATCTCTGCGATATATGGCTTAATAGAAGACAACTGGATTCTCGCATCTGCTTCTGTATTCACTCTCTAGCAATATGCTATTTTGACTGAAGTATATGAAGAAAATCTAGCCTCCCACATATATGTAACTGTTATTTTTTGATATTATAAATATGTTACTCTCTGATACTATAATAAAACCTGAGAAGGGACAGTCTCTTAAAGGTTAGTTGCAATGTGAAATATGCAACAAAACTATGAACTTTTCATACTATACTACCTTAAAATCCACTGCACCTTGAATAATCTTTTATCCAGACATAATTCTGTAATATCAGGCACTGGTCATTTGAAAAACAGTGGTTCACTGAGTTATGCAGATCTTTGAAATGCTGACATATTTCATTACATAATATATTAAAAATCGCTAGGTTAATATCACCATCTATCTCATCAGAAAAATGTTTATGTGTTGGGAAATTGTAAAGCTCAAAATGGTAGCTCTTTCACACAATTCTAATTTTTTTAAAAAAGATTTTATTTATTTATTTGGCAGACAGAGATCCCAAGTAAGCAGAGAGGAAGACAGAGAGAGAAGAAGAGAAGCAGGCTCCCTGCTGAGCAGAGAGCCCGATGCGGGGCTCAATCCCAGGACCCCAGGATCATGACCTAAGCCAAAGGCAGAGGCTTTAACCCACTAAGCCACCCAGGCGCCCCCACAATTCTAATTTTTACCTGAGAGTCTGAATTCATCACTGGCAGCAAATTCTGTTATTTATCTTCAAAGCGACAAGCATACTTGTAAGAAAATTTTTCCAATGGCCTAAGTCTGAATAATAATAGTTTGTCTGTTAGGCATTCTTTCAAGAACAAAGTGGTGTTCTGTGGAAAGAACAGCTAGTTTGACTCACAATTCAAACAACCACACAACTGGTTTTTCCCAAGGCAACCACATCACACTTTGGTATAAAACAGAAGAGCTAATGAATACTTCCCATTTCACCACAATGAATATTTTTTTAAATTTTTTTTAAAGATTTTAATTATTTATTTGAGAGTGAGGGGGAGAGAGAGAGAGAGAAAGAAAGAGCACAAGCAGGGGAGGAAGAGAGGGAGAGACAGACTCCCTGCTGAGCACGGAGCCTGATGCAGGGCTCAATCCTGGGAGTCCAGGATCATGACCTGATCATGACCTGAGCCAAGGAAGATGCTTAACTGACTGAGCCACCCAGGTGCCCCACAATGAATATTTTAAAATATTAAATACTCAAGGATCAAGACTTAATAAAATAAAGCCCAGAGCAGGATATTGAAAGTCAACCAATACTGATACCCTCTGTGAGGAGGGTGTCAGTATAAAAGAGCTGTCCCAACTGCATGCCTGTTAAAGACAAGTATCTGCAAATAAGTGACCTGGCGTGGGTTGTCACAGCCCAAGTAGGGTGAGAAGGGCAATCACATGGTCAAAGTGATGGTACTGGTAATGAAAGATTAGCTACATTCAGCGAGTTTGAGAAAATAATATATTAAGGAAATGGAAGCCAAATTCTTCCCTGTCAGAGAAGGGAGTTAGAAATATGGAAAGTAAGTTGGTGGGAATGCAAACTAGTACAACCACTCTGGAAAACAGTACGAAGGTTCCTCAAAAAGTTAAAAATAGAACTACCCTCTGACCCAGCAATTGCACTACTAGGTATTTATCGAAAGGATATAAACACAGTGATTTGAAGGGGCACATGCACCCCAGTGTTTATAGCAGCAATGTCCACTATAGCCAAAATATGGGAAGAACCCAGATGTCCCCTTACAGATGAAAGGATAAAGATGTGGTGTATATATATATACAGTGGAATATTACTCAGCCTACAAAAAGAATGAAATCTTGCCATTTGCAATGACATAAACAGAACTAGAGGATATTATGCTAAGTGAAATAGTCAGAGAAAGACAAATACCACAGGATTTCACTCATATATGGCATTTAAGAAACAAAACAGATAAATATAGGGGTAGGGAAGGAAAAATAAAGTAAGATAATAACAGAGAGGGAAGCCAACCATAAGAGACAATTATAGGAAACAAACTGAGAGTTGCTGAGGGGGAGGTGGGTATAGTCTTGTGGTTTCCAATACAGATGTACACATGTATGTATGTATGTACACAAATACATTCCCCAGCTCTACCACTCAGAGACCTAGAGCAGCCATCTTCCAGCAGCAATGAGCAACCCTAGTATGCAAATTTTGCCTTCTAACTACTATTCTCGACTAAAAGAGACCAGGGCACCTTGAAGAAATGGTTGACTTTATGACCGGAGCAGGAAAAGTACAAGATGAGCCTGACAAAACATGCTGTTGTGTCAGAAAATAAGGAGATGCTCAAGGAGTGAGAGAGATGTGCCTGTGGACACAGAAGCCTCATGAGCGGGTTCCCACAGGTCAAACCTGGGACAAGCTCAAATATTTTGAACTTCAAAATAAATCAGAAGAAGAGATTATAACCCACCAACTAAAGATCCAATAAATGAACAAACTGAAAAATCGGTGGAGAGGGATGTATTTAATAGTTTCCGAGATTCTCCTCACAAGAGACTCATGAAAGGAAAAATGATTAATTTTACAAGGAGAAAGCCGGCAGACGCTAACCTAATCACGTGCTCCAAGCATCATCAGTAACGACAAATGTGTGCTTTACCTGACAGAATGCAAGAAAGCAGCATCAGTTCTGTGACACTGCTGCCAAAGAGGCGTAAATCTAAGTCTAATCATGAAGAAAAGTGCACACCAACCCGAACGAGGGACACTCTACAAAATAACTGGCCTGTAATCTTCAAAAACAGCTGGGAATGCAAGTCAAGGAAAGATGGATGAACTCTTCCAGACTGAAAGGCTACAGAACTCAAATTCCTAAATTAGTAAGAGAAAAACCGTATTGTCGGGCCCTCCCCTATCTCACCAACCTAATTTATTTATTTATTTTTTAAAGATTTCATTTATTTATTTGACAGAGACAGAGATCACAAGTAGGCAGAGAAGCAGGCAGAGAGAGAGAGGAGGGGAAGCAGGCTCCCTGCTGAGCAGAGAGCCCCAATGCGATGTGGGGCTCCATCCTAGGACCCTGGGATCATGACCTGAGCTGAAGGCAGAAGCTTTAACCCACTGAGCCACCCAGGTGCCCCTCACCAACCTTATTTTTTTACACTCTTTTACTAACTGTGTCCTGGCCTTCTTACCATTCCAACAGTTTCTTGGCAATCACGGAGCCTTTGTGTTTACTGTTCACGGTGACTGATCTATTCCTCCCCCAGATACTCATAGAATTTGATGCCACTCTTCATGCTTCTATTCAAGAAAGCTTTCCCTGACCACCTTACCTAAATGAGCCCTGTCGATTTCTATCATTTTCTATTCTCATGCTCTTTATCTTCCTTGACCAACATGTTTCATTATATGACATTATTTACCTATTTATTTATTTACTTACTTTCAGTTTCTTCCTGACTACATAAAACTGCATTTGAGAATGGGCAAGTTATCGATGTCGTTCATGACTGTATGGATAGCGCCCAGTACAATGCCTGGCTAGGAGCAAGTAGTCAAAATATTTGCAGAACTTATGAATGAATGCATTTATTCATTCAGACACATGCAGAAATGCAAAAGAGCTGGACAGCCGCTGAATCCGACATAGAATGGTTGCACCAGAAACAAAAGAGAAGCCTTCCTTGGTGAAATGGGAGGGAAATAGAAGAAAAACAAAGAGAGTAAGAAATGAGATCAGATGGAAGTTCGTTGGGTAACCCAAAATGAGATCTCAATTTCCTCCCTCCACAGGGAGGGAGTTTTCTAAGCACCATCCCACCTGTTTCTCCTCCTCCTGTGTGACCTGTGAGGTTGGTTCCCGGCAATGATGGTTCCCTCCTGCCTTTGCCTTCCTGGGTTCCAGCTTCTTGGCCCTCCCCTCACAACTATCCAGGACTCCTGTCCTTGCTCCCATAAGGTCACACCTGACTGAGAAATGGAGTGTCTCCTTGCAAGAAAAGAACTACTAAATGGCATAGAGCTTTTTTTTAAATGATGAGTTCAAAACATTTGGCCAAATATGCAATAAAAAGTAAAAATAATACTGATAAAGACTTCACAGAAAAGAAGTATGATGGGAATGAAAAACGACATCACATCAGTAGGAGAATGATCTTGTTTTAGATTCATTCAGACTCCTCTTTGGAGCAAACAGAGAACAGTGGTTGAGAACACAGACTTATGAGCCAGACCTCCTCAGAGGCTCATTGCTGCTACTTCTCCCACTAGCTGTGTGACCCCGGGAAGTCACTTACCCTGAGCCTCTGTATTTTCATCTAAAAAGAAGTTTGATAAAAACATTACCTGCCTCATGGGGATGTTGTGAAGGTTAAGTAAGCCGAAGTATTTGCTCTGCTTACAACACAGCCTGGTTTATAGTAAGCACAGTGTTAAATATTAATATTCTTATTATTACTGTTGTTATTTTGGTAACAGGAAAAGAAGGTTCATGAGACATTTTTAGGATTTAATTCAATGTCGAATTTAACTTTGTAAAATGCGAAGTTCACAGATTCCAACTTTCAACCTCAAATATGCTGAAAGCAAATGAATGTGTTCACTTAGTATAAAATGACTTCTGTTTATCCAACCCTCCTCTATATAAAATGGAGAGGCTCTTTGGAAAGTCACAGTACATCAGGACCTTGTTTCTAGCTGTACTCCCTGCATGTGGGTCAAAAAATTACGAAGAGCAGTGCTTCTTTAAACTGTATAAAAATCACCTGGGGATCTTGTATAAATGCAGCTTCTGTTCTGCAGGACTAGGGAGGACCTCACAAGCCCCAGAAGAAGCTGATGTTAGGTATGAAAAACTTAACAATAAAAAAATGCTAAAACCCCACATAAACCAAATGAAACCACTGAGAAACAATCCACATCCCTCCCCCAAACCAACAAAACTGCATCTCACCCGGGCCTAGCCTATCTCCTTCACTGCCTTCTTGGCTTCCTCTCCTACACTAACTCTGCTCTGGCCTCCCTACAGTTCCTCAAACTAAACCCCCACACCTTGAGTAGCAAGGACACAGATCATCTCTAGATATGCTAAAGTTCAACACAGTATGAAACCTGATTTCTCTGACGATGGTTATGAATTAAATGCCCCATAATGCAAATCCAGCTCCTTAGTAATTAAAGAAGAGAGGCAATTGCAGAAAAAGCCAGAGGAAGGTGTGAAGGCATGGGAAGAGGAAGGAGCCCAACGAACCCATTCCAAATCCAACAAATATCAAAACATCCCTTTGACCACGGGGAGAAGAAATTCAACTGGTTTCTTCAAAGACAGCCCTGTAATTCCCATAGCAAAAAGCCGATAGTGCAGAGAAAGACTCTGAAGTATTTCAGGCAGAGGACCTTACCCAATGACACCAAGTTACTATAGTTCTCCAACATCACATCCACGTACAAGTCCCTCTGAGCAGGGTCCAGGCACTCCCACTCCTCCTGAGAGAAGTCGATGGCCACATCCCTGAAAGTCACCAAGCCCTAAAACCAAAAACCCATACATTACTTGTGAAATTACAGAAATTTAAGGATTTAAGAAAGTATTTCCAAGAGGGGGAAAAAAAGGATCGTGAAGGATAAACTGCAAGAAGAGGAAAATGTAACATCAAGTAGGCTAGAAGCCTGCAGTACGTACAGGTAGGGAAAAGTAAAGAAATTTGTATGACTAAAGCAGAGTGTCTTCATGTTCTAGAAGAATCCTGTTATAGGAAAAAAAAAAAACCTTCTTGGATATTATGAAATAACTAGACCTGTCTGATAATCTATAAAATCATCCCAGTTTCTCTTCTATTAAATAAAAATATTTAATAGAAATATGGGTGGCTCAGTGGGTTAAGCCTCTGCCTTCAGCTCAGGTCATGTTCTCAGGGTCCTGGGATCGAGCCCCACATTGGGCTCTCTGCTCAGCAGGGAGCCTGCTTCCCCCTCTTTCTCTGCCTGCCTCTCTGCCTACTTGTGATCTCTCTGTCAAATAATTAAATAAAAAATCTTTAAAAAAAAATAGTGGGGGTGGGGGGAAGCCCCAGGTATATGACTACGTATACATACACACAACCTATTATGTTCCTGCCTCATAAATTCTTTATTAATGTGAACTGCTACACCAACTTTTCCCTTTAAGGAATATAAAAAATAAATCTTTTTTCCCAAATGCACTATAAAATCTCTATTTTAGAAAAATAGAGATTTTATAGTTTTTAGAAAAATGATTTCCATTAAATTAAGGATTATTGTTAAGCCTCAAGTAAATCACTCTGTTAGAGTACATTGTAAGTCTTTTCTCTTATAATGGTAAATACATAAATACGTAAGATGTTTTATTAGCTGCAACTCAGTTCATCATATAGAGATTAATATCTCTACTATATTTATACATTTAGGTTGAACAAAAATTCTATTTTCTTCATTCTAGGAATCTATTATCATCCAGTATTTAGAAATCCCAATTACCTTCTTACTTGTTACCAGCAACCACCCCTCACCTAACAATTTCCTCATTCCTGAGTTGGAGGACACTGAAAGGGCACAACATATATGACACAGTTGTCACCCAAGATCTGCGCATCCTGGTCAATAACCAAATGAACTCTGACACTGGTGTTCAACAATTACAGCACCACTTTCCCTAGGAGGACCCACTCACCATCCCTCTCATCCTAAAAGCTTTGCAAAGCCTCACAGAAACTGAGGCTAAGGCCAAGAAAACCCAAATTCCATCTTCTCTCTCTGGGAAACTCAGGTCTGTGAAGAAGTTCCAAGTTTGCATGTGTGGTCAAATGAGACCCTCATCACTGAATCATCACCCCACAGACCTGACACAGGAATGAAAAAATTCTGGTAAGGGAATTGGTGCAGCCCTAGTGGAACAAAGACAGGTGATAACAACGGACACTGCCCAAGACAGCCTACTGTCCTAAGTATGTCCTAAGTAAACCCCAAAACTCTCCAGAGAAGGCACAAGCAACTGAAAACATTCTCTTGGAGGACCATCCAGCTGTCTAAGGACATTGAATCCTGACTGGCTTCTTTCCTAGATGCCTGCCAATCAGCACCTTAGAAGAAGGAGTAACTGTTGTTTTGAAAATGTCTACAGTCTCTCATTCTCTCTTTTCTCCTTCCCTTATAGAAATCCTGTTTGTGCCTTGATAGATGAAATCAATCTACTCTTGGCTTTCCTTGTATACAAGTAAAAATGTGCTAATTGTTAACTATATTTCTTTGAGTTATTCTTTGACAGGAGCTCAACTATTTCCTTCAAAAGACTCCTATTCCTCCACTGCTTTTAACAGAAGACTGAGCACACAGTTGTTGGATGTGTTCAATGACATGATGATACTGATCGGAAAGGCACATAGGGAGGACACTGGGTTATTTCGCACAATCTTTTACTGGGACAGGAACTGAGACTGGGTTCAGGACTGGGGTCTATTACGTAGGAAGCTTTAGGACAATTAAGGAAAAGGTTCATATGACCTAAAAAATCACAATATTTCAAGGACAGAGAAATACCAACTTACATCAGTCATGGTTCTAGAACTGCAAGAACTAATTAATAATCCATGGGGTTCCTCTATTGGTGAAGCACAGAATCCAGAAAAGCCAGAGCTGGGGAAGGAAAAAAAAGCTTTAGACCAGGTGTGCTTAAGTGATCCCATCCTGACTGAAGCTAATATAAGCTTTTATCTCTTCCATTCCTGCTTCTGCTTCACACCTCCCACAACCATCTGTGGAATCTAAACTCTCACCTAAAACCCGAACGTCCTTCAGTAGGAAGGTTTCTGGCAGCGCCTCATTCTGGGGATGCTGATATGGTCCTCATTCTATGGATGCTAATAAAGTAGACCAGAGGTTGGTCTACTGAGTGCTGCCCAGACTGGAGCCTCCTCCCGCTACTCTCACCTCTCAGAGCTGCAAAAGAGGCATGTGGTCCAAGCCTCAACATCCTTCATGGGCTTGGGGCTGAAAAAAGTTGGTCAAGACATAGGAGTAGATGGGACGTACAATTGCCTGAGCCCCAAAAGCTGACCTCTTAATGCATTCAGAATATCCATGCAATGGAATGCTATAAAACTATGCTAAGTTGGGGGAGATCATCAAGATATGTTGTCAATACAAAATATAGCTTACAGGATGTATAGTATTCTATTTATAAATTATGCATGTATATCGATAGAGAAAAGACTGACAATCAGATGTCAATAGATGAAGAAAGTGTTTAGGAAGTTATACACCCATATACAATAAAGATTTTATTGTGGTCCTAATGTTCTTTTTAAGTATTCTGCAGAGTTGCTGTAACCACAGCCATGCATTATATTAACTACATAATTTCTATATACACTCACGTTCTGCCTAGAAAAAAATGGCTAAAATTCCCCAAGAAAAGTCACGAATACTTTGATGAGATCGCAAGCCTGCTTCTTTTCACGTCTTCTGACACACAGGTTTAATTTGTAGCTGACCTGTCTTTTTAGACGTGATACTCTCCCGGTAAGTGCTAAATCACCTGATCCCGTTAGTCTGACTTAGCAGTGAACATTAGTAGGATAAAACCTTTAAGCATAAAACTCGGGATGAATTCTGTTTGCCTCCGCAAAGCTGGTCATGACCCAAAAGCATTGCTTATAATTACCTTCCTGTGAGTTCCTAAGACAGGTTGCCTGCATTGTTTATTGGCCTTTGTTGCAGTCAGCTTTAGTTATTCCCATGTATATTTAGTATTCCTTGTCTTAAGGGTAACAACGTCTTTCAGTTATTGTATTACCTCCCAAGTACAATCTCAGGCTCTTAAAATTGGGGCAAATTTTTACCCAAAATTCCCGTATGGAAATGTATCCTTAAATAGCTAGAGAAGTACAGATGTATACACATGAATATTCACCCAGGGTCACCAGGGTGGCAAAGTCAGTTAATTGGCCAACTCTTGGTTTCAGTTCAGGTCGTGATCTCATGGTCATGGGGTTGAGACCCACCTCCGACTCCACACTCAGCAGAGTCTGCTTCAGATTCTCTCTCCCGCTCCCTCTGGCCCTCCTGCTCATGTGCTGGCTCACTCTCTCTCTCTAAAATAAATAAATCTAAAAAAAGGAATATTCAGCCAAAAATCATTTATGATAACCAAGAATCAGAAACTACCTAACAGTAAGCAAATGGTTTGCTCGACTGTGGCCTGCTATGTCATTAACTGATTAACTGATGAAGAAAACACACATAATCAATTCCATAGGGAGGCAGGCAGGTTTGTAAAGTATATACAATATGGGAAGTGTATCCAAAATTAAGATAAAAAACTCTGGTGCTGGACTTTCAGGATATGGGCTTGACAATGACCAATTTCTCAACACTTCTATTTCCTTGTCAATAAAAGAACGATAGGAACATTGTCTGCCACAGATGACTGCAATGAAGATTATGTAAGAAAATCTACATAAAAAACTGGTGTACACGGGACGCCTGGGTGGCTCTGTTGGTTGAGCCGCTGCCTTCGGCTCAGGTCGTGATCCCGGCGTCCTGGGATCAAGTCCCGCATCGGGCTCCTTGCTCAGCGGGAGCCTGCTTCTCCATCTGCCTCTGCCTGCCACTCTGTCTGCCTGTGCTCACTCTGACAAATAAATAAAAAAATAAAATCTTAAAAAAAAAAAAAACCAAAACTAGTGTACAATAGGGGTGCCTGGCTGGCTCCTTCAGAGGAGCACATGGCTCTTGATCTCAGGATTATGAGTTCGAGCCCCACAATGGGTGCAGAGATTACTCAAAACAACAACAACAACGGGTGTACAATAATTACTTAATATAAGTTTTGACCATTATTAGAGACGGAGAAGATTACTGTCCTTTATTCTACTATAATGACAGTTAATGCACCTTTCCATTTTTTCATAATAAAATCTGTGCTTCTCAGGCCTATGTTCTTACAAAGTTAACTAAAGCTTCACAGCCCAGCCTGAGCCTCCAGTTCTTCCTTAACAACATAAGCGAAACAGGTTCTCAGAAAGATATATAGGAGATAGCTCCTCCTGCCAGAAGCTGCAGACAGAGACAGGGCTTAGCATCATAAAACTGGCTCGGAAAATACAACCCAATTAGGTGCCAAGAAGAGCATGAACCAGAGACTCAATCTTTTTCTGTGCAAATTGGTGGTTTATTTGGATATTGGTAACTATAACCTTCTTAATCTACCTTCTGGTATTATTATCCGTCATTGGAAATATTATTTATCAAGTAGATTTTTTAAACATTTGTTTAAGATTTTTATTTATTTATTTGATAGAGAGAGAAAGAGTAGCAGAGGGAGAGGGAGAAGCAGACTTCCCGCTGAGCAGGGAGCCCAATGTGAGACTCGATCCCAGGACCCCGGGTTCATGACCTGAGCTGAAGGCAGATGCTTAACTGACTGAGCCACCCAGGCGCCCCTATAAAATAGATTTTGATAAGACAGAACATATACATTAGAAATTATCACTATTTTTTACGGAAGTAAACTTTTTTTTTTTTAAAGATTTTATTTATTTATTTGACAGAGAGAGATCACAGCAGACAGAGGCAGGCAGAGAGAGAGAGAGGGAAGCAGGCTCCCCGCCGAGCAGAGAGCCCGATGCGGGACTCGATCCCAGGACCCTGAGATCATGACCTGAGCCGAAGGTAGTGGCCTAACCCACTGAGCCACCCAGGCGCCCTTACGGAAGTAACCTTTAAAATAATCTAATTCTGAAAGTCTGTCTTTGTGGCCCTTCTAATTTTTAAAAAGGTGTTTCTATACTTCTAAAAGTTGTGAATACTATAGGTTTTTAAAGATTTTATTTATTTATTTGAGAGAGAGAGAGAAAGAGAGCATGAGAAGGGGGAGGGTCAGAGGGAGAAGCAGACTCCCCACCAAGCAGGGAGCCCAATGTGGAACTCGATCCTGGGATTCCAGGATCATGACCTGACAGGTTTTTAAGTAAGAAATCACTGACATTTCCTTCTTTTTTCTACATATTTGAGATTAAAATAAAACCCACATCTGGGCTGGATTTCTTCTTCAAAATAAGAGCTAAAGAATCTTCAACTCAACTCTACCACCCATTACTGTTATCTTATTCTGCAGAAACAAAACCAGACACATAATTTCACAGGGAAAAAAATTTAAACAGAAACACACCAAAATATTAAGAACTGATTAACTTTAGAGGATGTAATTTTAACTTCCATCTCTATATGTTTCTTGGATTGCTGAACTTTTTGCAACAAACCTGTTTTAATTCCATAATCAGAAATATAAAGATAGTTCCAAGTATGAAAAATTGAATAATAGGGAAGGGGCATATTTTAGTCATTAATAAAACTGAAAAAAAAAAAAACACCAAAAAAACCAAAACCAAAAACAGACCCAACACTTTGAAAATCAGTGGGCCAGAAACAAAGTACACCACCCGCTGTTGAACATCTCTAGCTGTAGCTCACCATAACACTGAGACACTTTCACTGTAGATTCCCTCATAATGGGTGCCTGGGTGGCTCAGTTAAGTCAGTTAAGCATCTGCCTTTGGCTCAGGTCATGAACCCAGGATTCTGAGGTCAAGTCCTTCATGGGGCTCCCTGCTCAGCGGGGAGTCTGCTTCATCCTCTGACCCTCCCCCCGTTCATGCTCGCCCCTCCACTCTCTCTTTCACAAACATAAATAAAATCTTAAAAAAAAAAAAAAATTCCCCCATAATGAACATTAATTATGTAAGTCACCTTCAAAGTCTGAGGAAGGAAATATATGCACCTAAGCAGAATGACATTTGGTAAGAACAGACACTCAACAGGTGTGGCTACACCTCTCTAATTCTTCACTGAAGAGTCAAATCAAAAAACATTTTGGAGACAATCCTTGAAAAATGTCTTTCAAAACTCTCCTACTGAATGGGATTCTTATATAACTCATAATATTCCTGGGGAATTTGTTCGTAACTACAACTATTACTTAATATTTTATTATTTACATTTTTCCTTCTTTTGATTCTTTATAAACATATTTTTTATTAGGTGCACATTATTCCATTACAGCATATACTGCAATTTACTTAACTGTTTCCTTATCACTGGACCCTAATTTTATAAGTTCCTTCCCATCTATTAAATCTTCATTCCAGATCAATGAAACCAGACCTTTTCTATGTCATCTACACTTAACAATCTCATGAAATTACAGACATTTTGTTCACTTAAGAAAAATAAATTCACAAATATTTACAAAAATCCTGTCCAATTTCAAGGGGTTTGCAATCACCTGGCAGCTCATAAATGGAACAAGACCTCAGGTTAAGGTATCTTGTACTAGACCATTTGAGCATCTGGTCACTTTTTTAAACTTGCAAGCACCTATCACAATCATCTTCATATTTCTCTTCAAATTTCAGTTATGGAAATTTGATGTGAAATGATCCAGAATCAGCATGTAACAGCAAATCTTAACATTCACTAAGCCTGTATCATGGGGCAGGCCCTGTTCTAAGGCGCTTTACATGCACTGACTCATTTTACATCTTTATAACCCCCATGAGATTGGCATTACTTTGTCTTAATTTTGTAGATGTGACACACAAAGCCCGAGTCACCTAAGCTCACAGAGCTAGTAACATGTAGAGCCAGGATTTGAATACAGATGCTCTAAGTCCAGAGCCTTATTCTTAACCATAACACAGTACTGCCTCTACAACACTCACAAAGTGGGACCTGAAATAACTCATGTCTAGCAATGTTACAGATTTCTACCTGAAGATTAACTGAATGTCTCTGTCTTTGTTGGTGCAAACAGCAAACCCCTATGCTCAAACCCCAATTACATCCCCACCTCCTAAAAGCCTTAAAACATTGTCATTTATTAACTGAAACAATGTTCCTACATTGCCTTGATCTAAAAATCATGACTGTGGAGAAGACACAAAACAGTTCGCACACGATATCAAGTAAATACCAATCTCCATAAGTAATCATAGTCTAAAATGAAACTCTAACACTAATCTAGGAGGTGTATTTCTACACCATCAGCATGTTCAGAAAGGGAGAATGCACCCAAGGATTTGAATAATTTGCCATTTGAACAGCTAGCTATTGATTGAGAATAAGGGCAAGAGAGGGTCACCAAGAAGAGAGATACATCAGCACGGTGGGTCATTCACCAGAAGGAAAACTCAGGATAGACACTACCAGTGATACTGCAGGCCAAGGAAAGCAAATATTCTCATGATATAAAAACAAAAGTAACTGTCTTTAAAAGAGAGAGAGAGAAACACAAACTCACCTGAACCTTGATTTCAAAATATGCAACAATTCTTTCTTCCTCCTCAGGGTCCTTCTTAGAAACCCATCAGCGGTGGGAGAAAAAAGAATCATGAGACACCAGCATTGCTTGGAGCACAGAGGTAGCAAAAACACACACACATACACACACACACAAAACAGAAACAACGGGAAACCAAAATGCCATCTAGAGCCATATCTGCCTTCATCCACACGAAACCAAATGGAATTGAAAAGGAAGACTGGAATCTCTCTGTGGGTTGACAGCAATTGTTGGGGAGAGAGGTCTGGTCGCAGTGGCTCTGAAACAGGAAGCTGGCTCCCAGGGACGCGCCCCTTCCAGGAATCTTACCTCTGGAACCTCCCGATCACGTCTTCCTAGTGGCATGTCATGAGGACACTTCTGGATGTACAATGCTCATCCCAAGACTGGACCTACGCCTTCGGGAGTGAAACGCTCACTCTAGGGCTTAGTGAAGGACTCTTTCTCTTGCGGTCACTTCACTTTGGCAGGCCCAAAGAAAGTCCAGAGGAAACTTGGAGCACACAGCCAAAGCAAAACCACAAGGCCACACAGCTCATCACCCCGTCACACATTCCCAATCGCATACACCATCACGGAGACACACCCCGGTCCTGCCACGCCGTCTGTCACACACCATCCTTCTCAGCCGCTCGCGCGCACACAGACTGAGGCTCCAAACGCGACACGCCCTGTCCGCAAACCGGGCCTCCTCACCTCGGGAGCCTCCCGGAGTCAACCCCCACCCTCCCTGCGGGTTCCGACCCCGCGCCGTTTAATCCCTCCGACGCTAGCAACTCACCACGCCGAGTCCAAAAACCTTCAGGACACCGGAAACGGACCCACAGACTTATGGGAAATAAAAGCCGGGAAGTCCTCGGAGGCTGGGAACCTGGCCATCCAAAGAGCTCTCCGCCAGCAAACTCGCCCCGCCCAGAAAAAGACCTGTGCCCGGAGACTTCTGGGAAATGTAGTCCGCCGTGGGCAAATGCTCAGGAGTGGGGACCCTGGACCCTCAGAATGCTGCCAGCATGCAACTCGGCTTCGTGTAGCAAAGGCGCTTTTTCCAAAGTCAATTTGGAGTTGTTCTAGTCTTTGCTGCAGGACGTAGGTCCGGGCTCCGCGAGCCTTGCTGCTCAGTTGTCTTTTATGTTGTCAACATCTTTGACGAATGGTTCTCAAGGAAGGCTGAGGAACGCATTCTGGACTCCCGAGAAGGTGAAGATGAGAAGGGACCATGGACTTAGGCTTCAGTGAGCGGGAACGTCTCAAGTAAGGTCCATGGGAATAACCTTAAGGCACAAAGTTTAAGAAGGTACTCACTATTAGAGTTATGCAAGTACTGACTTATACAACCTTATACTTACAACCCGGAAAGTGAGTTCTTCCTTAAAATTTGTGCCTGACACCTCACTCACCTCATGGACACAACTGAAAATTCTTGAAAAAGTTAGACCACGAGCTTATCTAGTTTATGAGAGACTGGAGCAGGGTCTGGCAGTTGAACAGATGGGTGCGTCTTCCTCCACGTGAGTTTGTGGGTCCAATCTGGCGAGTGGGACCTTAAGTGGAGTTGTTTATATTCATGGGATAGTTTGTGCTTGTGTGAATCTTTGTTTCCTTAGATGTAAGGCGGTTTGTGTTACAGATTATTACCACTGTTGAAAAGTAACAATACGTGGTCGTGGATTGATATTGTGATCATATGCAAAGGTCTCTTTGAACTGAGAGATGAGATGTGTGACATTGCGTGTTAATATCAGTAACCGAGAACGACTTCATATTTGTGAGTTTTTTAATAAACTTTTCTTTTGTGTGCATAGTATGGTGATTATGAAGGTAGATCACTGTCCATCTGGCTTAGTGTTAACTGGCTTAGTATGTGTTAATTTGATTACCTGACTGCCAATCACTATATATACCTGAATAAATATGACTGTTGTTGTGAGTTTCATTATTTCTACAGTTTCATTATCTATAAAATAGAGTAGCAGTATTATTACATCTTCTTGTAGCATCAAATATGCATAAAACTATTTGCAATTTATCTGCCAAATGATTTTATAATGATATTTTATAATGAATCAGTGCTGTTTTATCAGAAAGACTGCAAATCAACATTTTAAAGAAAGAAGAAATAGGGATGCCTGGGTGGCTCATTCAGTTAAATGTCTGCCTTCAGCTCAGGTCATGATCCCAGAGTCCTCAGATCAAGTCCTGCATGGGGCTCCTTGCTTAGTGGGGAGCGTGCTTCTCTCTCTGCCTGCCTCTCTCTCTCTCCCTCTCTCTCTCTCTGACAAATAAATAAATAAAATCTTTTTTAAAAAGATAAAAGAAAGAAGAAATCAAAGTAACATGCGGTCATGGAGTGGCTTCTGTAGATTTCCAATCTTCTGTAATGTTAAGGTTACTTAACCAGATAACTTTGAAAACCCTAGACTAAGGAAATAATTTCCTACTTGTGGAAGCAGGTAGTTTAGAGCAGAGCCCAGCATTAAGGGATCAGATGTTCTAGTATATAGGTCAGGCAAAGCAAGGAACCTGTTTGAGACTGCATAATTAGTCCATTAGAACACTACTTTTGTAGCAACATGGATGGGACTGGAAGAGATTATGTTGAGTGAAATAAGTCAAGCAGAGAGAGTCAATTATATGGTTTCACTTATTTGTGGAGCATAACAAATAGCATGGAGGACAAGGGGAGTTAGAGAGGAGAAGGGAGCTGGGGGAAATTGGAAGGGGAGGTGAACCATGAAAGACTATGGACTGTGAAAAACAATCTGAGGGTTTTGAAGGGGCGGGGGGGTGGTGGGAGGTTGGGGGAACCAGGTGGTGGGTATTGGAGAGGGCACGGATTGCATGGAGCACTGGGTGTGGTGCAAAAACAATGAATACTGTTATGCTGAAAATAAAAATAAATAAAAACATTTTGATATAGGAATTGAATATGTAACTGTGTACTTATATATATATGGCTGTATAAACATGGAGAAAGATGTGGGATAGGCACACCAGAATTTTAACATGTTCTACATAGAGGGAATATAGGAACTTGTGAAGATGTATGTACAAAGGGGAAACTGATAGGTAACCAATGAAGATCTTGTTAAAAATATAGTTCTTGGGGTGCCTGGGAGGCTGGGTCGGTTGGGTGGCTGCCTTTCGCTCAGGTCGTGATCCCAGGGTCCTAGGGTTGAGCCCCACGTCAGGCTCCCTGCTTGGTAGGGGGCCTGCTACCTCTCCCTCTGCCTGCCACTCTGCCTGCTTGTGCTCTCTTTCTGTCAAATAAAAAATTAAATTAAAAAAAGTATAGTTCTTGTTAAAGTATAACGTTCTTATTAAAAATATAAAATACATACATCTGTTATTTACTTGTATATTAGTTAAAGGATGGTTTAAAAAATGCTAAGAATTATTATCATAAGATAGTAGACTTTCAGGTGTTTTCACTTTGTATTTTTATGTCCTGCTTTAATTTTTTACTTAAAATCCATTTTGTCTAATATGATATGTCTGCTTTATTTTGGCTACTATTTGCATGGAATGTCTTTTTCCATACTTCACTTTCAGCCTATACAGATCCTTAAATCTAAAATGACTCTCTTATAGACAAAATATAGTTGGATGATGTTTATACATTCAGCTACTATATTTCTTTTGATTGGGGGAGTTTAATGCATTTATATCTAAAATAATTATTGTTAGGGAAGGACTTACTGTTATCATTTTGTTAATTGTTTTCTGTTTTTCCTGTGTCTTTTTTCTCTCTCTTTTCCTCTCACTGTCTCCTTTGTGCTTCGGGGTTTTTTTTTTGTACTGTCATGCTTTGATTTCTTTCAAATTTTCTTTTGTGTATCTTCTATCACTATTGCCTTTGTGGATGTCATGAGGCTTACATAAATCATCTTGTGGTTATAACCATCTGTATTAAGCTGACAACTACTTAATTTCAGCTGCATAGAAATTCTTAACACTTTTACTTCTCTCCCCTCACATTTTATGTTATTAATGTCATGAATTTTGTCTTTTTATATTCTTCATCTATTAACGTGTTTTAGTAGTTACAGTTTCTTATACTTCTGTCTTTTAACATCTATACCCAGAATTAAAAGTGATTTATGCACCACCATTGCAGTTTTATAATATTCTGTGTTTGTCTATGTACTTAACAGTGAGCTTTATATTTTCATTTTTTTAAAAGTAATCTCTACACCAAGTGTGGGGCTTGAACTCACAACCCCAAGATTGGGAATCACATGCTCCACCAACTGAGCCAGCCAGGCACCCCTCATACCCTTTAATATTACTATTTAGCGTCATTTCATTTCAACTTGAAGCATCCCTTTAACATTCCTTGTAAGGCAGCTCTAGCAGTGATGAAGTCCCTTAGCTTTTGTTTTTCTGGGAAAGTCTATTTCTCCTTCATTTTTGACGGATGTTAAAAATATATTAGTTCTTGATTGGCATTTTCTTTTTGGCATGTTGAATATATTATCCCACTCCCTTCTGGTCTGCAAAGCATCTGCTGAGTCTTAGGGTTTTCCATATACATGACCAGCTGCTTTTCTCTTGCTGTTTTCAAAATTCTCTTTGTCTTTGAGTTTTGACAATTTGATTATACAGTTGACCCTTGAAGAACATGGGTTTGAACTGTACAGTTTAATGTATGCACAGATTTTTAAAAATATAAATAGAGTACAGTACTGTCCATGTATTGTCTTCCTTATAATTTTCTTTTTTTAAGATTTATTTATTTACCTTAGAGAGAGCGAGCGAGTGCACAAACGGGGGGAGAGGGAGAGAGAGAACACCAAGCAGATTCCACACCGAGTGCAGAGCCCAACTTACGGGCTCATCTCACCATTCCAAGAGCATGACCTGAGCCAAGATCAAGTCAGACGCTCAACTGACTGAGCCACCCAGGCACCTGTCTTCCTTATAATTTTCTTTCTTTTCTTTTTTTAAAAATTTTTAAATCATTTTTTTAAAAAGATTTTATTCATTTATTTGACAGACAGAGATCACAAGTAGGCAGAGAGGCAGGCAGAGAGAGAGATAGAGGAGGAAGCAGGCTCCCTGCAGAGCAGAGAGCCTGAT